AACACACAAACAAACACAACACACAAACAAACACAACACACAACACACAAACAACACACAACAAACAAACACAACACACAAACAAACGTCGGCCATTGAGTGTTTGTTGTTTACATCAAAGTAAAAACATTCTGAAGTCAGAGGAGTCTGAATGAAGTCTTTGACCTTCAAGTCCAGATGTACATCAAACCAAAGTGATTAAATAAAATAATAAACTCTTTCCGAACATCCAAAATGTCCAACTTTATTAATCAATTATCTGGGAAGACATTCATCCTGTTTTTTCAACTGCCACTTCAACTGCTTTCATTTTGTACTCGTCAAATGACAATCAAGCTACTTTAATATTCCTCCACTGACACTTCAACTGCATTCAGTTGCCAAAGGACAAGTGACGTTTGAACTGAATTCATCTTTAAATCTCAACTGACACTTCAACTGCTTTCATCTTTTATCCTTCAATTGCTTTCGTCTGTTTCTTTTCAACTGACATTTATCTTCATTCAACTCTTCAACTGACTTGTCTCCTTTTAACTCGACTGACACTTCAAATCCTTTCAGCTTCCACTTGTTCTCCACCATTCACACACTTCAGACATCGTCTCACAGCCCGGACACTTGAACTGTCACTACTTTCTTCTAGGATTTCCACTTCAACTGACATTTCAACTTCTTTTAGTATTAGACTTAAAGTGAATGTTGATCTAATTTTCAGCCCTGCGATTCAGGAAGTCACTTCGACTTCATTCAGCGCTTACAATGAAGTGAAACTTAGTTAGTTTAAGCCCCTCACCCCATCCCACGATGCAGAACTTGAGGATGTATCGGCGGATGTAGGTGTTGAAGACTTTGACCAGAGCGATGTACATGTGGATGGACTCCAACCCCATCCAGGTGAAGGTGGTCAGCAGGAGGTAGTGCAGGAAGACGGCCACGGAGAGGCACAGCCAATCGGTCTCCAGACTGGCCAGCCAGCCGTCCAATAGGAAGACCATGTTGAGGAACAACAGGGACGTGCTGAGGTTCATCAGGATCTTGGACGGGTAGTCGCGCCGTAGTTTCCTGTGGGGAAAGAAAACTGTTGATGTGGTTGGAATTGAGACTTTGCTGACAACTTTCTGGAGGTTTGAGCTTTATTTTCACGTCCACATATTCGCAGCCACCTCCTCAAACCACGGGAACAATGGGGGGGTTACACTTCTCGCCAAAAAGCTGCTCCACATGGAGCTGTGGGAGTTTTTCTGTGGTCCGAGTTACTCCTCATCCTCTGAGGTGTTGAACTACACAACGTCTGGTTTCCTTCAGGAGGCTTTGTTAAAGGGAAAGACACTCATCATGTATCTGTGAATTTCTAATTGATGAAGTTAAAGTGATGATCAGATCAGAGGCTCCGATCTGAAAACATCTGATTTAAACATCTTTTAAAGGGAGTAGACATCCGACACAGAGGTCCACCGTTGTTCAGTATTCTCCTTTAAATCACTTCTCAAAACACGTTGTTACAGACTGGCTCACATGTCATGTCGTCGCTTTTCTGTTTGATTTTTATTTGTTGATTTTACTCAATTATTTTACTACATTTTTTAAATTGGATTATTTTTATTTCTTACTTTATTTTTATCATATCGACTGTCTCACTGATCTTTCTGTTATTGTTATTATTGTCTTTCTTTTCGCTGCTTTGTCTGTCAAAGCACTTTGTAAACTCTGTTTCTAAAGGTGCAATATAAATAAAATTATTATTATTATTGTTATTATTGTTTCTATGTAAAGCTGGAATTATGTTTCTGCACATAAATGTCTTTGTGAAAATCATTTCACGTTTGTTTCACCGTCTCCTGATTTCTTCTATGTTTTCTTCATATTGTGTTTTGTACAACGTGACACTGCCCCCTGGTGGACACTTACTTTATAAAAGTATACAAATAAAAAACGTCGACAGCTGTGTGTGTAAAGCACAGTTCCAGCTTCAGACCAGATGTCTCCTGGGAATCAAAGTTAAACCTAAACTTTATTATAATTGTCATTTTTACATTTGTTACATATGAAATTAAATTGCGATTTGGGGGTTCTGTGTCTTGCTCAAGGACACTTCGGCACAGGACACGTACCAGCCAGGGATCGAACCGCCAACCTCGCGGTTACCGGACCACCCTCTCTACCTCTACACTTGTAGTGACTAACCCATCAGTGACATCATCAATACATCAGCGGACTCACTCGAAGGCGATGTAGGTGAGCAGCGTGGCGGCGGAGAAGATGGCGGAGATGCCGCAGCCGATGTAGGAGATGAAGGTCAGGATCTTGTTGTTCTTCGGGTCGATGTGGGGCGATGCTCCAGAAATGTCCTGCAGAAGGAGAGACGCAGAGTCAGCGGCTCAAAGAACGTAGTTTATAGATTTGGTTTTATGTTCTGAGCAATAAGTACCATGAGGATGCCAAAGTGAGTCAGGTGGTCACACAGACAGACGGTCCTGTTGCTGGTGGATTCTGCGGAGGTTCTGCAGCCGTCTCCATTCCAGCCTCCAGCACCACCTGGTGGCAGCACAGAGGTATTACCACACATCACCGTCACTGGAGTGCCGGTTACACACAACTTCTAGAGATGATTTCTAACTCACTGTTCATGCTGAAGTCCCAGAACATACAGACCGGAATCAGGTGAGTCTGTCAGGAGAGAAGAGATGATTTATTACACTGTGAAATCTATTAAAAATGAACATTTTCATCATGAAATAAAGTTTAAAGTGCTTCACAATAAAAAAAAAGATTAATAACAAAAGTGAAGACAATAAAACAATAAAACAATAAGATAATTAAATCCTCCCACACAATCCTACTTCAAAAAAAGTTAAGCAAAATGTTCAAATTAAAATAGAAAATATTATAAAACAATAAAAGGATGAGAAAAAGAATAGAAAGAAATAAAAAAATGTAATAACAATAAAAAAAATAGAAAATACAAAAATTTAAAAGTAAATACACAAAAACTAAAAGTCCCAAAATGAAAAGAGACTATACGTTTTTTTAAAATATACTGCATGAAAGACGACAACACAACAATGTGATCACATGCCCCCTCTACAGGACACACACACACACACACACACACACACACACACACACACACACCTGTAGGTGTTCAGAGAGGTGAGCGATCTGGATCTCCACCGGGTCCTTCAGGTCTCTGATGGTCAGGTTCCCAACGCTGCTCGCCACCACGAAACTGTTCAACGAGCGGCCGTCCTGCTCCTTCTACAACCAGACGGTTCATCAACCATCACTACTGTTGTTCATCCGTGTTCATCCGTGTTTATTGGTGTTTATCGATGTTTATCAATGTTTATCGGTGTTTATTGATGTTCATGGATTCTCACCTGGAAAAGGTTCGTGCTGCTGAAGAATATGAAGTTGATTCTGGACAGAGACGATCGGCCTTCTTCAGTCAGCGACACACCGGACAGCAGAGACGCTGGAAGACTCACCTGAGCTAAAGGGTGAGTCCCCTCTGACTGGAAATCAATCTGTGGGGGGGGGGAGGGGGAGGAAAGGAAGAATGTGTTACCTGTGAGTGGGTGGGGTTACCTTTGTGTGGGTGGGGTTACCTGTGTGTGGGTGGGGTTACCTGTGTGTGGGTGGAGTTGCCTGTGCGTGGGCGGGGTTACCTATGGGTGGGTGGAGTTACGTCTCTGTGGGTGGGGTTACCTGTGGGTAGGTGGGGTTACCTATGGGTGGGTGGGGTTACGTCTCTGTGGGTGGGGTTACCTGTGTGTGGGTGGGGTTACCTATGGGTGGGTGGGGTTACGTCTCTGTGGGTGGGGTTACCTGTGTGTGGGTGGGGTTACCTATGGGTGGGTGGAGTTACGTCTCTGTGGGTGGGGTTACCTGTGTGTGGGTGGGGTTACCTATGGGTGGGTGGAGTTACGTCTATGTGGGTGGGGTTACCTGTGGGTGGGTGGGGTTACCTATGGGTGGGTGGAGTTACGTCTCTGTGGGTGGRGTTACCTGTGTGTGGGTGGGGTTACCTGTGGGTCGGTGGTGTTTGCAGGTATGAAGGCGCTGAAGGACGTCCCGTTGAACACAGAGGTGTTGAGGGYGGAGATCCCCACAGCCAGGTGTCTGGAGGTGATGCTGATTGACGGACCCTCGAACTCGATCTTCTGAACCAATTCATCAACTGTCTTCAGAGCTCTGAGGGGGAGGAGCCAAGACTTGAATATAGAGATACAGTGAATCTGAAGATAAAGTGCAGTAGAGTACAGTAGAGTATACAGTAGAGTATACAGTAGAGTACAGTACAGTCGAGTATACAGTAGAGTAGAGTATACAGTAGAGTAGAGTACAGTAGAGTACGGTAGAGTAGAGTATACAGTAGAGTATACAGTACAGTAGAGTATACAGTAGAGTACAGTAGAGTATACAGTAGAGTAGAGTACAGTAGAGTATACAGTAGAGTACAGTAGAGTATACAGTAGAGTAGAGTAGAGTATACAGTAGAGTAGAGTACAGTAGAGTACATTAGAGTAGAATATACAGTAGAGTAGAGTATACAGTAGAGTACATTAGAGTAGAGTATACAGTAGAGTAGAGTATACAGTAGAGTACAGTTGAGTATACAGTAAAGTAGACTACAGTCGACTAGAGTACAGTCGAGTACAGTAGAGTATACAGTAGAGTAAAGTAGACTACAGTAGACTAGAGTACAGTAGAGTAGAGTACAGTAGAGTAGAGTACAGTAGAGTACAGTAGAGTATACATTAGAGTGCACCGTACTCCTCGGACTGTACTCTATACTCTACTGTACTCTACTGTACTCTAGTCTACAGTAGAGTAAAGTAGACGACAGTAGACTAGAGTACAGTAGAGTACAGTAGAGTACAGTAGAGTAGAGTACAGTACAGTAGAGTAGAGTACAGTAGAGTAGAGTAAAGTAGAGTACAGTAGAGTACAGTAGAGTACAGTAGAGTAGAGTACAGTAAAGTAGAGTAAAGTAGAGTACAGTAGAGTAGAGTACAGTAGAGTACAGTAGAGTACAGTAGAGTGCACCGTACTTCTCGGAGGTGGCAGCGAGCGCCGTCTCCGAGCTGCTCATCACGTTGGAGATGATGGTGACGACGGTGGACGCCAGCGTGCTGTTGATCTTCGCCACGTTCACCAGCTGCTTCACCTTCATCACCACTTTAGCCACCTGAGGAGGAAGAAGAGGAGAAGATGAAGAGTTCAGCAGCGCTCCTCCTCACAGGAAGTCGGTTCAGAGCGACGCCTCCCACCTCCTCATCGGACAGCTCGTTGTTGGTGATGACGGCGAGCTGCACCGCCACCTCAGCTGCATTCTCTGAAGAAACAGAAGCACAGAGAGATTATTCATGTTTATTTATGATGATCATCATACTTTAATCATGAAAAATATGAACTCCTCTTTAATCATATTCTTAAAATATTTCTACTTTATTTTGAACATTTACTCTTTATTCTCTACATTTGTAATTTATTTTAAATATTTCGTCTTTACTCTCAACATACTGTCTTTATTTTCAACATTTCTAAATAATTCTTAACATTTCATCTTTATTCTCAAACTGCAAACATAAAGACATTTAAAAATAAATCTTCCTCCTCTCGTGTTTCCTGGGATGATGTTACTGTATGTATCACTTATTCACGAGTCTTCACTGTGATGTATTTACATATCAACGACGTTTGAACCTCAGTCGGAGGCTCTGATTGGCTGTTGGCTGAGCGTACCTGCAGACACCTCGATGGCGTCGATGTCGGTGCAGTTGTTGACGTCTGCAGCCGACCAATAGGAGGAGAAGTTGTGAGGACCGATGACACTGAGACAGAGAGAGGAGGAGCAACATGAAGATAAAGATCCAAGGAGGGATTCAACCCACAACCTCTTTGCTGTCACGCCGGCTTCTCAGTGGTGGAAAGTAACTGAGTACATTTACTCAAGTATTGTACTGAAGTTACTTCCACTTTGTTACTTTCTACTTCACTCCATCTCAGATAGAGATTGTACGTTTTACTGCACTATTTATTCATCACTTATAGTTACTTTAAACATAAAATACTACCTCTTATACTTCTATAATATGACGGAGTACTTCACTCTACCTCGTACTATCTCCACATTGATTAACTTCTACATTAAAAGGTTTGTATTAGTGCTCCAAACAGAACAACATCACATTCTATAACAGGTACATCAGGTACATGTTGCTGATAATACTTCAGGTACATGTTGCTGA